TCATTCGAGATGTGTGAATCTAGAAATAAAAATGATAGGAGAAAAAAGGAAGAAAGAGCTCTCGTTTGCAGGCCTTTGATCATGATTTTAAGCAGTATTTCAAACATGATTGTACATAACAAAAGAATTTTTCATAAAACAACATTTCATAAACTAATTTTTGCACCTAAAGATGAATAGATTGTTCTATTCAAAAAGCCTTGAATTTCAATTTTAAAAATGGAGAATTCAAATCAGTGGAACGACTAACATAACAAGGGAAGCAAATCTCTCATATTACCAACCTGGAAAATTCTCCTCTTTGTCTTCTCATCAGGTAAAGGGAATTCGATTTTTCTGTCAATACGGCCAGGACGAATCAAAGCAGGATCCAAGGACTCAATACGGTTGGTAGCCATCAGCACCTAAAAGTTTTAAGTCGAAAAGGAGTTTCCCAAATGTTCCTCAAAAACTCACCTTGACATCTCCACGAGAATCAAATCCGTCAAGCTGGTTGAGCAATTCCAGCATAGTACGCTGAATCTCGCGCTCTCCTCCGGAGTTCGAATCATACCGTTTTGTGCCAACAGCATCGATTTCATCAATGAACACGATTGACTTTAAATCAAAATTATTATCGCACAAAATCATTTAAAATTGTAGAAAAAAGTGAGATATTGCTTCAGCTCACCGGTGCATTTTCTTCAGCAACTCGGAAAAGTTCCCTGACCATTTTCGGTCCGTCTCCGAGATATTTTTGGATAAGTTCGGAGCCCACAATTCGAAGGAAGGTGGCGGAAGTCTGATTAGCTACAGCTTTTGCCAGTAGCGTTTTTCCCGTACCAGGACATCCATAAAGGATCACCCCTAAATTCAACAAATGATAATGAACAAAAAACAAATACAATTGAAAAAAGTACCTTTTGGTGGTTTGATGCCCATTTCTTCATAGTATTCGGGGTGAGTTAGCGGCAACTCAACAGATTCTTTGATTTCTTGAATTTGTTGATCAAGGCCACCAACATCAGCATAAGTTTCCTTAACAGCTTTGCTCTCAACTTAAAAACAGGAATACTATAAAACATATCTCCACATTCACAAACCTGTGGGGCCTTCTCCAACTTCATCACTGACACCATTGGATCAGCATCATCAGCAAGAACTCCGATTACAGCATGGTTCTAAACCGGTTTTCTGAGGATGATAACGCTTACTCGTAAATTGAAATAAATAGAAAACTTTAGCTGATACGCAAGTGAATGAAATACAAAGCAAAGATAATGTATAGCTGCTATTGGACACCTTGTGATTAAGTAAAACAGCACAACCAGGCTCGAGCTGCTCCTTGTCAACGAAAGACATTATATTCACGTAATGTTCACTTCCAACATTCTGAAAGCACACTTTAAAAAAAAGGAAGCGATGCCAAAGAAAAAAAATGCGTACAGTTGAAACGATAGCGTGTTGGTCGTCAATGATTTCTTCAAGAGATCCCACAGCCATCGGAGTGCCGCGAAGCTCGTCCACCTATAAGGAAATTGGCAGTTCAATATATGTGCAGGAGAGTGAAAATTTTTGGAAAATTAGAACTGTTTATCCTGAAATAGACCGCAAAAATGAGAATTTGAGAAAACAAAAATACCTTAGTTCGCTCCTCTTCTTGTCGCTCTTCTTGTGGCTTTAAGCGCTCTTGATTTTGAATAAACTCCTGCTCCATAAGGAGATAATCCTTTATTCTCTCGCTTTTCAAAAGCTTCAGCCGACATCGAGCATGAGGAGTTACTGAAAGGACAATCAATCTTGTAGTCAAAAATACAAAAAGCAAGATCGTACATGAGCTTTTGCTGTTTTTGTT